ATATATATATATATATATATATATATATATATATATATATATATATATGCTGTCCAATATCATAGCCGCTAGCCACATATGGCTATTGAACACATGAAATTTAGCTAGTGCAACTAAGGGACTGAATTTTTATTTTAGTTTTAATCAATTTAAATTTGCATCATCAAATATGGCCACTGACTATGGTATTGGATGGCACAGATCTAAAACCTTGGGTCAATGACTTGTGCTAACTGGAAAAGGGTGGTATGTGAGTGAGTTACCATATTTCCCCATGTATAAGACGCACCCTTTTTCAAAAAATTTGGGTCTAAAAACTGGGTGTGTCTTATACAGTGGTTGTCGATCTTTTTACTTGCATTTCCCACTTTTTCGCACTTGTTGTCTTTGCGATTATTGTTTCACACTTGTTATTTGTATATTACGGTAGGTTACGTTTTGCCACGTTCTGCCCAGAAATGGCTCAGAAAAGATTTTTATATAGTGCTGAATGAAAGTTAAAAGTGATCCAGTTTGCAAAAGTGAATGGAAATCGTGCTGCTGAACATAAGTTTGGTCCTCCTCCAAATGAGAAAACAATCCAAGACTACGGGAAGAAGAAACTCTACTGAAAACGCCACGGCAGAAGAAGGCCATGAGAGGCAATATATGAAGACAGTGATTCGTCATCAGACACAGATGAGGACAAGCTAATGGTTGGGAGTTCTGACAGTGATGAGGACTTATATGAATTTTATGATGAATAAAACTTGAGTTCAATAACTCTATGTAATACATTTTTTTTCAAATTTCAGGCCCCAAAATTAAGGTGCGTCTTATACATGTGAACGTCTTATACATGGGGAAATACGGTAGCTAAGTTTAATAAGCAAACAGACAAAAAGAAAAACAGCCAGTCGGCGCTGAGCCATGGGCATCTCTCGGAACAACTGGCACAAGCGCCACAAGACCGGGGGCAAGAGAAAGCCCTATCACAAGAAGCGAAAATATGAGCTGGGACGCCCTGCTGCCAACACTAAGATTGGCCTGCGCTGCATACACACAGTCCGTGTGCGTGGAGGCAACAAGAAGTACCGTGCATTGAGGCTGGATGTGGGGAACTTCTCCTGGGGCTCCGAGTGTTGTACTCGCAAAACAAGGATTACTGATGTGGTCTACAATGCATCCAACAACGAACTGGTCCGCACCAAGACCCTAGTAAAGAACTGCATCGTGCTCATTGACAGCACACCGTACCGACAGTGGTACG